CACAGTGGGTTTGTCAGGGCGGTTTATAATATTTGGATCAAATGGAAAAAAAGTAATGGTAATCCCCAGTGAGTAATAAAGTTGATAGATAGGAAAGTTCTGAAGGTCTGATATCGTAGATTTCAAAATCGAAACAATGCATATTCTACTTAATTATTTATTTTTGTTGCAATTCCAACGCTCCTTCCGAACTCTGTTTTGTCCATAATGAACCGCTACGTAGTGACATAAATTATATTATGACAATATATATATATATATATATATATATATATATATATATATATATATATATATATATATATATATATATATATGCCGCTTTTATTGGTGCAGTGCAGTGGTATAACAAATTACAATTGCCCTTTAGTTAAATATGTTCAATGTGTTTGGACTTTGCGCGTCAGTCCGGCATCACCGCCGGCAAGAAACAGGTCTACCTTGAAAAATATAGATTATCTGTCACAAACTGATAAGAAATTCTAATCCTTTTGCACTTCCCCGGTTGACTTGTCAGGAGAGACAACTACGACGAAATGGCTATTTTGTGCCGCAAAGGTTTGCGAGCATCGATATCCCATGTTCCAACATAAAATGAATGTCTGATTTCTATTGATATTAATATGACTTCTGTGTACATACGAATTAATACATATTGTATAATAATGGTAAAAATTGCGACGAATTAGAGACTGTTTATCAAATATTCACTGTTTAGTGGACAATTATCCAAACAATTTCCTGTTTACGACCGGTGATTTCAATGCATATCCACAGTCTAGATTCGGGTTAATCTCTACGTTTTTTTGTTTTCAAAACAAATCAGGAATGGCAGTAGTAAAAAGAAACGGAGACAAGCCAATAATAAAAAACTTCATATGTGCAATGAATGAAGGCGAAGAGGGTTTTAATTGAAACGGATTGGTGTCTGGAAATACCTTGATGAGCCCCGCGGCCTCAGTGCCTTCCTGCGACAGCTCCGCGTCCAGCTCGTTGGCTATGACTATATTCTATAAGAAGTGGAATTAGAACTGCATGATCTACTTCCACTTGTTAATTCTAGGGCATCACAAATAATTAGCTGCTCTGTAGGTAACTTTCACCAATATCAACAACACTGAACGTTCTCTGCAGGACTTTGCCCTGTTTTTGTTTTTTTTAATTTCATGTCACTCGGAGCAACATAAGAACGATATCCAACGCTTCAATGAAGCGATTTTGTGCGAGGAGGTGTTTACATCGTCAGGCGGAGCAGGTACCAAGGCTCGAAAAGCGTACCTGCGCTGGCGTGCCCATGACAAGCCCGACATGGCTCTGAGTTTGAGGCCATAACGCATTTCAAACGAGCTTTGAGAAAATAAAAATTGGTAAGAAAGTCCTAAAGCTATTTTTTGGAAATCAGTAAATGGAAAACAATTAAACATAACAATCTGACGTCATAGAAAATGGTAGCATAGCGGTTTACGAACTATGGAGGAACTCATTTTAGCAACGTTTTCAGCGACAGCCATAATCCTCTCGAGCCCCACGAGGCGAGTGTTTAGGACGCGGCGACTGGCGAGGGCAAACGAGTCACCGTGAGCAACAGCCCCGCCCACGACGGCATCTTGTACACGCCCACTAGGTACTACGTGCAATGCTTAGCTTACTGTTCAATTGCTGCTTCAGTTAAAAGGTTTTTGATAGTTGTAACTGTAACATTTCTGACAGTTGTAATGACAAGCCCATTGCCCTTTCCATTGTGTGCGCAAAATTATTTGAAGCTGTCATAAATGACACACGTTCTGATCAAGTGCTGACCTGGGTCAACCAATTCGCCCACAAAAATAATTGCGGTGCTCATATTGCAGTCGTAATTTTAAAGAACTTCATTCATGAGTAAAGGAAACAATACGCCCGTTTTCGCCTGTCACAGCTGGCCGTAGACACCATCACTTCATAATCGGCAACTAAAGCCCTGGCATGCGTGGCAGGGGATGGGTGTCCGGTGGGGCGATGACCGAGGACTTCGCTGTCTTGCCGGGTAAAACAAGGAAGCTTATTGCCTTCCTGTTTGGGCAATGTCGACCTAGACGGGCTGTCTTGCCAGATTAAATATGATGATGTGGTGTTTGGCTTATGTGATATATGTACTGATATTTTATTCATTTAAAGAAACTAGTCATTGATCCTTTGAAAAATTAATGTATGATGTTCGACTCCCTCTAAACGGAGAATATTGTGTGTCACAATTACGCAATGTGTCAAAATGCTATAACAAGGGAATTCGAAAGCAGTTTAACACGGGCAGACAAGACAGCATATTTGCAGTATGTGTGAACAAGGGATTTCCAGCCTTAAAGGTTATTAGACATTAGGTTTGTGGGTTTGTTCCAGAGAATTGGCCTATCTAGAAGGTGTATTGTAAAAAAAAAGAAAAAAAAAAAGAAAATTATTTCCAATGCATGTAGTGGAAATCAAGTGCGTATGTGCAACATTAACTGGTTTTAATCTGCTGGTT